TGTAACGAGTAACCAAAATGTTTAGATAGTTTTCGAAAAATGTGGAGCTGTAAAAAGTAAAAATTTATAAAGGTATCCAAAGAATTTACATTTTTGAGTTATCGAAATTTATCGAGCCCTCGAATTTCACAGTTATCGAAATTGGTCGAGTTAACGAATTTTGTTGAGTTATCGGATTTTAGTGTTCTTGAAATTCATCGAACTATCTATATGTATCAAATCATTGAAATTTATCGATAAACTTGAATGTATCGGGCCAATTCCAAGTCCTGCCGAAGTCCTCCAAAGACCTTCTCAAATAAAAAAATTTTAATTACGTTTTAGTCCCAAAGCAGAAGGGTTTCCGGTTAGTTAATTTGTACCGTATAAGTTTTGCTAAGTATTAAGTTAGAAAACCTCTCCAAGGTTTCTAAAACTAGAAAAACTGTCGAATTTCGACAGTAACTGGCACTCTAGTACTTAATAATAACACTTAATAACAATATTTTGGCGCCCACACTTTTGCTAAGAGTTGCACCGCCTTCGAACAGCAAATGGATTTTATGTCTCGGAGGTTTGCCGAGGTGCCAGCGCTGTTAAAAAAAAATTTTTTTTTTAATTCAAATGGTGCCCGGACCAGGTATAGAACCCGGGCCCTACGTAGTGGTAGTTCGCACCTCTAACCAATCAGCCACAGCGGCCGCCATAGGCAAGTTAAAAAGCCTACAAAACATTTTTTCAGCTTCCTTCCAAAGGCAATAATATTGTTTAAAAATTTTTATTGAAGCCAAGAACTCGTAACAGCGATTTTGAACTTTTTAAGTTACCCACACTAAGAAAAAAATTGACTTGATTTTTTCAAACATTAATTTTTAGTTTTTCCTTGTTAGCGATTCGATATTTTTGAACAGAAAAAGTATTTTATATATAGAAACATATGTATGAATGTGCATTAAGGTGGGCCTTAATTATATGGAGAAAAGTAAAAGTGTTTAGATTCTCCGTCTCACCCCCAGAAATGTGTGAACAGCCTAAAGACTCAACTATGAAAAGTTTTAGGTCAATCAAAAAAGATTTAGAGGTGACTCAAAGCGCTCAAAGTTTCCCATGTACATACATATTTTATATTTATGGGCAAAACGATTTTTCGTAGAAATGGTATAGAATCCTTGAAAATCAATATTTTTCAATCGGCAAACTCTGTTACTCTTCAGGAGTATTGATGTGCCAATACTTGAAAAATATTTCGGAACTCAATACATCCTTTTCTGTACCCGATACCGATTCTTTACATAAATTAGAACAAAAATATTTCTTTGCTATTTTGTATGATATCGGTTAAAAAACTTTAACTTATCGCAACAGTGAAATATTATTTTATCATTTTTGACCTTAGTAGATCCAAGGTTCAAGAAAAATGCTTTGACGAATAAAAATGCCCTTCAGGCCTAGTTCCATTGCGATTGCTCCCGAAGTCATCCCGAAGACGAGTCCATACTAATGTATTGAGGCTGACATGATCCTCAGTCAACCGTCGTGCCAGACAGCGTGGACTTTTTCACTTATCGACAAATGAGCAACAAACAGGTCGCTCAATCTGACCGATCGTACATATGTACTTTTCTCTCCTCTGTTCTTAGTTTCTTAACATTCGTCATTGGGCAGGGTAAATGGTGGTGTGTCGTCCTCTACCTGTCATTCGAACGGAAGTCGTGAGGAATACGTTTGCTCTCTATTCGCTACGCTTTCTTTTACACTGAAGCAATTTTCACGCGAAATTTACATCCGGAAATTCCAATTCTAGTCACATGTGGCGTAGTAAAATGCGTACATTTTATTTGAAAAGGAAGGCAAAAATTGTTGTAGGTTTGTGTATATTTGCACACATACATACATACATACATATGTATGTATATACACTAGTTTGTGTGATGTAAAATGCGATTATTAAGAACGGCTCAGGTTGGTCGGTCTCACAGCCGAAATTCTCGTACAATGTCGGCTTCTGTGGAAGTTGTTAGTGATTGCCGTTGTTATTGCCGTTGATTTTTCATGCATAACGTTCGCCATGCGGGCACGCAACGAAACAATAACAAACGTGGTCTCATTCACCGAAATGGCTGAGAAACAAAAGGACACTTTTTTTGTTTGGTTGCTTTGGTATTTGTTTGTTAACAGTGAATAACGCCTCTCCTTTGGCTCTCCTAGCTCTTTAGCGTTGTATGAATGTAGTCATGTGCTTATGAATGTACGTATTTATGTACATGTACATGTATATGATGTTCTGTTATGCCGGTGTGTGCTCATAACAATGAAATTTTGTGTGTGATTTAGAAATGTTTGCGAAAGAATTAATCCAACACCCTTGGGAAATTCCACGATTGGAAATACTTAAGTGCGTATCTATGTATGTATGTATGTATGTATATAAGTATATATGTATGTCCAAAGCCTTGCATACATACATACATATATAAATGTTTTGAGTTTCAGAAATGAATAGCTGTTGTTGCCTGTCGTTATGGAGTATTTTAGGTACTAACTTTCGAGACTCTTATACATTGATCTAAAGAAGTATGACGGTCATCATATCTGTTAATGAACCAGGCACCCTACCAGCGTTGCCGAATTGACACTGCACACTGACGTTTTGACGATTTTTTATTTGAGTTTTTCCACTAAATTACATACATACATACACTGCCGGAACAAAGTATTTTTATTCTAATATTTTTCCGCCAATTTTGTATAGAAAAATATGGTTCATTCAACAACAAAAAACATAACATTAAAATTCCTAAACTTTGTGCAAAACTCGCGAAAATTCAGCAAATTTTCATCGAAATTTTTAATTTTTTAATCAGATTTTTTAGAATTATGCGTTAATAATTATTGACAAAATGAAAGTATTATTTACGCACGTTTGGGTATGCGACTATTATTTGGCGGCTTTTTCAGCAATTTAAAATTTACAAACTTTGAGCGAATTCAAAAGGTTTAAGTATGTTTTGCAGTTTTTACGAAGGACTTATACTCTTTCGTCATATAATCCTGGTTTGCTTCTGTTAAATATTTAACCTTTGACCCTCCCAATTATTTCATTAACTTTTATATGTGTAAATTTTAAAAGCTACTTGAGAAAACGGCCCATGGACTATATACATACATATGTATGTGTTAAATAAATAAATTTCATTACAAATGGTACTCCGCATTTCCTATAAACTAGTTACAATCCGTTTAATTTTTAAAATGCATTTCCAAATTAGGTTCATACATATATAGTACATAGTCTAAGGTTTTACTCCGCTTTATCGGTGAGGCCTACAACGAGATTTCGACATAACTTCCACGGACATAACTTCCACCGAACCGTAACACAAGTTCCATGGAAGTTATGTCGTTAAATTACTACCATCGATCGATTTTTGGTCCATGGAAGTAAAGTCTGACATTACTTCCACAGATCTAATTCATCGTATATCAAATGAGCCGATCCCTGCACAAAATTAGGTATTTTCACTTAGAACTTTTTGAAAAATGGTTAATGTTCCGAAATCCAAGACGATCTATATGAGATTATTGTGTTTATCACTTCTTTCACTACATAAAATAATGGATGGATATAAACGATTTTAGTGGCACAAGCGATGAATTGCAATTTTTTTACATTCATGCAGCCAATTACCGAATATTTTCGAAGCTTTTGTTTATAACCCGTGACTGGAACTTTTATGACTTATCCGGTAAATTTTTAATTTTGTGATTTATTTTTAGAAAAAGTTGAATGAACTGTCGGCTTTCAGTTTAAAAATGAGCACCTTTTCGCCTTTAAAAATATTAATGCTGCAATCGGGGAAACGTTTTCCTATCAACGGGAATTTCTTCCGTTTTCTTTAGCTTCTAACCTCTGAAGAGGATACTATTTCTAGCTAACTATTGCAAGTTAGGAATGATGGTTATCAGCCACAGACCAAGAAGAAAGGTATATTATGCGAAATCTGTCACAGTTCTTCACAATTGAAAATTGCCGTGATTGTCAAATAAATAGTCGAAGTGTTGTTCGAATGATATTATAATTTATTCTTAGTGTACATATCGTTACTGGTCCTTGACACATTCGAATTCAGGCAGAATGCCTATTTTTACCACTTCTCAGATTTATGTCTTCCTAGGTTAATGCAGGTTCCACACCGAATTTTTTCTGAAATCCGATCAAATTTACCATATTCGCCCACTAGTGTAGTGGGTGTGGCAGTTCGCAATTTTTACCAGTTTCCATACTTTTTCTTTTTTTAGTGAAATCGAGTATCGTTTACTACTTTTTCCGGCAACTTTCATAGGGATTAGCCAATGTGAAGCGTTCAGTCTATGTAAGATTAATGTACCCTACAAGACGCGAATGACAGAAACTCTAACACATTCTCAACGAAAACTAACACATATGCAAAATTTTATATGCCAGTTTGGCTCCGTAGGGAATGACTGTCATTTGATCGATCAAGTGAGTGTCAATGCTGATAGAAGTAACGGTAGTTGGTTGCCATAGTAACCACAAGATTCACTAGGGCTGCATTTTGTGCGCAACAAAAGTAGTTGTACCTGCCAAATAATGTCGAGTACTGAAGTACTTGGATATAATTTTGAACTTAATTAGTTTAATTTTAATTTTATCATTATTCGACCCCGCTCATAGCAAAAGTAAGTAAAAATAAAAGTTTTCATTGTGGTTTGACATTCTTTTTATATATAAACGTAATAAATAAAACCGTATTATAAAGTACTTGGTACTGAAGAAGTTCAAATGCGCACATCAACAGAAAAAAGAAAGACGCAAAACGAAAAGATGTTCAAAACTTAAAGTGCTGTGGAAAAATAAAGATAAGTTTTATAAAATATTTCATTTAAAATGAATAAAAGAGCTTTTAATACCGCCATGAGCAAGAAAAAAGGATTTACGAATCCAATATTAAAAAATTGCATCACATCGCTAGTTCTCTACCACTGCAGTCGCATTGCGCTGTGGATTTAATAGAAACAAAATTAAAAGATCCAGAGTATGCACAAGCCATGATAATGAATTATATTATGGAATACATATTTCACGTTCTAATTGCTGTACATACATTTTTCAAAGGTCAATTACATATATCAAAAACAAAAGGTGTGTCTGAGGACGTAGGCAGCGTCATTAAACATTTATTTACGGACGAAACATTGCTGCAATTCAACTGGGACGGAAGATGGGAGAGAAAACCACTGAACAAACTCATACTGGTTGACACAATCCTACGAGGTAATTACGTTCTGACCATTTATTTTTTTTTTTAGTTATTTGTATTTATGCACCTATATAAAAACATTTCTAACACACTTTGTAAAAAATTATCAAAAAACAACGCAAGGTTTTAGCCGCTTAAAACTTGCACAATATTATGCTGACGTTGAATGCGCTGTAAATCTGCATACCCGAATTTGTTTCTAGAGAACGTGATTTAAAAGTTATAAATTTTGATTACCATTTTTGGAAATGTTGCGATTTTTAATGAAACTTTGAGTTGCAGGGTTTTCGTTTTGGTATAAAATATATCTTTGTAAAAAAAGTTAAAAACAAATAAAGTAAAAAATAAATGGTCAAAACTTATAAAGAAATAGTATCCCTAATTATGTGGCAACTACCGTATGCATACAAACATATCTTTTAACAATAAAATGTTTTTTGATAATCTATTTCATACCACATAGATGCATTTAACAAGAAAGGTGCAGTTGAGTTGGAAAAGGATATCAAAAAGGCAGTTGAGCTGAGCCATCACCGCTTACACCAAAAAAATTTTTTAACAAAAAAATCAAAAAACACATCATCTGGAAATCTATAATTTTAAGATTATTTAATATTAGATTTAAGTACGTACATATGAACGCTAGTGTCAGAAATAATATAAACGCCTTATTTTGACTAATTTTTCGCTAAATTACCTTTGTTTTTTAATGTTTAATGCTTATTTAATATTCAATGTTTATTTAATGTTCGATGTTTATTTAATGTTCAATGTTTATTTAATGTTCAATGTTTACCTTACCAATACCTTTTTTCTGAATTTTGGTACCATAGTTTCGAACGCAGCTGTATGTATGTTTTTATGGTTTTCTGAATTTTTAGTTCGTAAGACATTAATTATTTATCATCTAATATTTTAATGATTAATAATTAGGTCTTAAGATTTTATGAAAATAAAAGAAAAAAAAAATGTCTTAAATGTGTCATTAATGATAGCTTTCTAATCATGCGTGAGAGATCAGACTTGACGAATTTTTACATCAGCTGTGAATAATCAGGAATGATAGGCAAACCTGTCAGACTTGATGTGTCATGAATGATCGGTTATTACATCAAATTTGATTGCACATTGCTGACTTATATTTCTATCAAGGTTGATCACTCATAATTGTCGAAGATTTACATCACTGATGATTCAAATTTGAATGCCGAACTCAATGGGAGTGAGCAGTCTAGCAATATGCCAAAACGTATATGCCAGAAGGAGATGAAGCACCACACGTACACGAAAGTTTCCATCAGATTTTTCACACTGCCCTTTAGAATTTGATAGAAACTTGTAGGTAGCCAGTGACAGAAATCTCCATCAGTCTTGCCCATCAAATGATTTGTCAAATGATAGTCACTGTTCTTGCAGGGTACATATGTATGTACAATTTTACGATAAAAATTTCTTAAAAACGGCATGGCGCCAGAACTATGTACACAACATACTCAAGTGGATCCACTTGGATTAAAATCAATGGCGCTTACTAATAAAACATAAACAGATGAATAAAACCCTACCACAACAAATTACCCTATACTCCAATACAATTACATTTTTGTTTTCAAATCTCAACACAATCACAACCCTGCAAACCAAAGTTCCCGAAATCTTAACGAAATCTTTATGAGCATCTCATTTTTGTAACGACTTTTTTTGGAATCTTCACAGAAAATTATATGAAGTGGTTGACACGAACTCGTAAAGAAATTTTTGTACAAAAAATAAAGAAAATTCTGAAAAAATTCCGCAAGAAATTCTTCACATAGCAGGATTATTTTTATTGCTTTACCGATTTTCGACCGAAGTGGTTTCGTTGGCTTGGCCATTTCGTTCGAACTCGGCTCTAAAAGTATTCAACTCGAAACCCGCTGGTGGTAGCAGAGGAAGAGGGAGGCGGACTTGGCTTCACTTGGCATATGCATTTGGCGTCAGTTCACACTGAAGAGAAACGACTGACGTGCGCTCATGAGGCCCTTAACAGGCGTAAGACTTTATTTTTAGTTTTGAGTTGTGTCGTCGTTATTGCAGATGAAACCAGCTTGTAAACATATACATACATACATGCATGGAATGTGTAATTATTCTCTTTCAATTTCTTCTTAAAACAAATTATACTTAGTCATGGCTTTTTTGCATTTCAACGACGATGTGAGATACGCCCTTTCCTTGCTAGGGTGTCCGCTATTTACCAAGGTGGGTTTTTTTTCGGTAGCGCCACCTAAATCTTTAGTTTGTGACCTAAAACGAAATATAAGACTAAAAAAATGTATAATCTTGATGTCAAACCGTCCTCCGAATGCGATATATTTCCCATTGAAAATATATGGGATTTTTCTACATTTTACATTTAACACATTTTCTTCTGAACCAGTGGTTATAATAAATGGGATTTATATATTGTTGTAGGAAATTTAAAGCGGAATTTTTCACAGAAAGTATTAGGTAGAAAATAATTTTTGGGTATTCATTCTATTTTTCAGCTGGCAACGGCGAAGCATTCTACTTTGCATTCACCGTAATGAACCAAAGCAGCGAAATTAATAAAATGTTGTAGAAAAAAAGAAGCGAAAAAATAAGAAGACAGTATAAGGCAATGCATTCTAGAATACGTTACCACTAAAAGCGATTACCGATTTTTTGCAGCCTATTCCAATTCACAAAAACGTATTTACAAACTAAATTGTTCCATAATGCCAATTACGCGGTTCTGTTGTGGCAAATTATCCTGATGAATTACTGAGGCTCGTAGACATGCAAACATACATACATACTTATGTGCATACATTTTATATATATACATACATACATATGTAGATATGTACATATGTAAGTATCCATTCGGCTGTTATGTGAAGCGCCACCGGTCTTTTCCGCCTGCAACCATACACATCCGGTGCTCCCAAGTTCCGCCGCACACAACAAAATTTTCAAATGCTTTCGCGGCATTTGGCATCTTTCACTTTCATCTCGGCGCAGTTAATTAGATTTTTGTTCGACCGTTATGTACATACATACATATAGAGCTCAATTAAATAAAATTAGCACCGGGTCCATTCATTGATTTAAACAGTGAAATGCCAGATGTTTGTGGGAATTTATGGTCTCTGCTATTTTTGGCTCGTTCAAATTGTTTCGCACTGCAATTGTACTAATTAAATCAGCAATTTATTGTATTAGCCTTTTTTTTTTTTTGGCACTCAGTTGCTAATTAACACGCGTAATTTATGACTTTAATTATTTATCGCTCAATTTATAAAATGCATTTGAAATTGGAAAATTATGCATATGCACATACTTATGTATGTATGTATATCTATTTTCATTCAAAGTTTTTGAATGGAAATAAATCGAATAGTATTACTCCATATGTATTATCTAATCGCTCAGTATTGTTAAAGACATCAATTTTCTTAATAAGTACCGAACTAATTAAAAACGGGTTTCACTTCAGAATTCAAGTAAATTTATTGTAAAAAGTGAATGACACATAAAAATACGGTTAACTTGTGATAATAAATACATACTTAATTCACATAGTAAACCGAATTCGTGGTGCTCAAGTATTTTTTTGCAATTTGCAAAGCCAATAAAACATCTCGTAATTAACATAATTATTTTATAATCAAAATAGGCATTAAAATTACTTTTGATGGCATTAAAATTACTTTTGTGGACTACAAAGCGATAACTTCAATTGATTATTTCGATACAACCAGTTGATCTTCGGATTTAGGCAGAAATATCTAGCGCCGCGCTTGGGTTTTTTTTTTTTTTTTGAGTAATTGGCTATTAAATAGCAATTCACTTTTGTAGCTTTGATGTTTACCAAAATTAAAAATTGAACATGAACCCAGCCAGTATTCTTTTTTTATTTTTATTTTTTTTTTTAATTTACGATTTTACGACATCATATGAATTATTTTATCATTTTGATGGTTAAGTTATGCACTTGGCCGTATCTTCTTTAACTCTTCGCTGTACAAAGTACAAAATTATGGAAAAATATTTTACAAATGTGTGATGTTGCAACTGAATATATGTATATGTGCTGCGTTCACAAAGATCGAAAAATATATGCTAAATAAAGATGCTTTTTAGGGCTAATAATTGAAAAGGTTTTTCAAATGCTCTACCTTTTGTGGAAAAAATTGGCAAAATTATTTTTTGTCCCGTATTCCGCTGCCATAAATATGGTCACCGTAACTATAGTGCAGCTAAGTAAAATTCAGCGGCCTTGCTGGCTAGGTATTGTCCTTCGAATGGACAGAAACGCTCCTGCTCTGAAAGTATTCAACGCGGATCGCGATTCTCGTAAAAGAGGAAGAAGAGGGCCCCTCTGCGTTGGAAACACCAGATGGATAAGAACTTGGCTTCAGTTGGCATTTCCAATTGGCGTCAGTTGGCACATAAGAGAAATGACTGGCTGCTGTTTTGGACTCTCTGGAAGAAGATGTCCTGCTAACCGTCACTTTCCATGCATTTATCACAGGTATCCTTAGCATACGGCTCTGCAGAAAGCAAAAGCAGTAAAGTTTCCTGCAAAAATGCTTTTGAGAAGGATTTCTTTATTTTTCTCATTAAGCTGATGAGCGGATCGGATGTCGAAAATAAATAAGGACTCACCAAGTTTTTATATCGATAAATATGTCGGGAATAACTTTGAAAAATATATACATACATATGTATGCATATATGCATCGATATATCGATACATAGATACACATACATATATACGTATTAGAGTCTATAAGAGCCGATAGCTCACCCTTTATACTACAAAGCGGTTTAAACTCCGAACTAGTAATTGAGTATATGTAAATATCATTTTCTATGCGAGATAAACTGTTTTGAAAAATGTTCACAGCATTACTGCTCATAGGTTGTTCTTAGTTACTTTCTAAATGTTATCTAGCCATGTGTATGTCTACAGAATTTTAATTTTTAATAGTAACTACAAATAATTTGCAACAATTGACCCTTCGTTTACTTAGTTAATATTCTGGTACTTTGCCTTAAAAAAATACTCGTTCGTGATGCGAATTTCGCAAACAAATATACATGGTTTATTTCATAACATATTTCAAGTAATTAATCATGACCCTATTTACAAAATGATGGCGCTGAGGAAGATCTAGCTGCTTTGATTTTAACCTTATTTACGGCACAGCACTCCAGTGGTTGCATGTTTGTATGTATGTATGTATGTAT